GAAACCCATTCCCTGAAGCTCTCTACGCACTGTTCTTGGGCTCTTCTGAAGGCCACACCAAGTTTGGAGGTCTTTAGCTACTGGCTCTGCAGACAGTTGGTGACATCTGCACACTGTGTGCTTCAGCATGCGCTGACCCCGCCCTGTCATGTGACGTGGCCTACCACTTGGTGGCTGAGTTGCTGTTGTTCCCAGTTGCTTCCACTTTGTTATAATCCCACTAACAGTTGAGCGTGGAATATTTAGTAGCCAGGAAATGTCACGGATGGACTTATTGCCCAGGTGGCCACCTATCACGGGACCACGCTTGGAGTCACTGAGCTCCTGAGAGCGACCCATTCTTTCACCAATGTTTGTAGAAGCAGTCTGCATGCCTAGGGGCTTGATTGTATACACCCGTGTCCATGGAGGGGATTGGAACACCTGAATCACATGATTGGGAGGGCTGGCCCAATACTTTTGGCAATATAGGTAAATTTGAAATATATATATATATATACACATATACATATACACACACACACACACACACACACACACACACACACACACACACACACACAGTGAAGGAAATATGTATTTCATCCCCTGCTGATTATGAATAGAGATGAGCGAATCGAACATGATGAAGTGGAATTCGTTCCGAAGATTTGGAAAAATTCTATTCGCGACGAATCCGAAGATTAGCAAACTTCGGATGCACGAATCGAATTTTCCCAAAAATGGCAGCGACATGTGTGGCGACAGAGAAAATGGACAGAGAAGATGGGGCGGGGATCTCTGGGAAGGCGCGCAGACAAGGCGCGCTGACCCATAATGCATTCATGACATGTGATCGCATTAGCCAATCAGCAGCCAGCCAGCACTGTGTAATGGTGGAGCTATAAATCGCGGCCATCTTAGAATTCTCCATTAGCCTCCGGTCATTCAAGAGAGACAGACCTGTGTGTATTAAGGGACAGAGTACAGAGTTAGGGCCACAGAGACTTTAGGGCCACAGAATCGTTACTCAGGGACACAGAAGGCCTGTGTATGGCTTCAGAATAATGCTGCCTACACCGCCACCCTGCGCCATGTGCCTCTGTCGTCTGCTCACGCTGCTGCCAGGTCCATACTGATTCATGGCCCCCTGTACCGGCTCCTCATGAACGTGGTTCAGCGGGTTTGCATCACTTAACGGCAAATCGTTGACAAACGCTGGGACGTTCAGTGTTGTGCGCATTAAGCCAGACACCAAAGGGCAGCACAGACCTGTTATTACTCGCTCAAGCATGGCTGAACAAAACCAGTCTCTACCACAAATTGGACCCAGACCTGCCCAGGGTCTCGTAAGTAGATTGCACGGAGGAGTAGAGTTCGTTATTGGAATTAACTGTGAGGGACTTTTAAACCTAGGCCTGTGTATGGCCTTCAATTGAAGCTGCTTCTGCTCCGCCACTCTGCCATTGGACTTTTGATAGTCGTCTCCCCACGCTGCTGCTGGGGGGACTTTTTAACATAGGCCTCTGTATGGCCTTCAATTTTAGCTGCTTACGCTCCGCCACTCTGCCATGGGCCCCTGTACCGCCTCCTCATGCTGCTGCCAGGCCCGTAATCTGCCATGGGCCCCCGTACCGACTCCTCATGCTGCTGCCAGGCCTGTAATCTGTCATGGGCCCCTGTACCGCCTCCTCATGCTGCTGCCAGGTCCAGAGTGTGTCATGGGTCCCTGTACGGCCTCCCATTGCTGCTGTCTCCATTGCCACACTCTGCCATGTGCCACTTTCAGGTCTCCTCACACTGCTGGTGGGTTCCATTTTGTCATAGGGTGCTGTATGGCCTCCCATTGCTGCTGCCTCCACCGCCACACTGTGGCTCCACACTCTGGTTTTGGCCCCGTGACTGCCCAAATGAGTGAAGTGTGCGGTGATTCTAAGATCGACGGCACTCATCTGCATGTCATACTGACTGACAGTATAATTTCTCTTCCCCAGCAGACTCCAAGGGCATTTAAATTAAAGGTACAGTGTTCTGCACTAATATAAAGGCTCTCTGAAGCCTAGAAACACCCTTTTTATAAGTTAAATTCGCAGAGAATATATTCGGCTCAAAGCGAATTTATTCGGCGAATTCGGCGAATCAGCCGAACCGAATTTTTGAATAATTCGCTCATCTCTAATTATGAATGTTTGCCCACTCACAAAGACATGATCAGTCTAAGCCTAGGTTCACACTACAGCAATCCTATGTGATTCGCACAGGGCCCGCATTCTTGTACAAATCACATGCAATTTGTTGCGGTGCGTGCGATTAGAGCCATACATTTTGTATGGCTCTTTTTGCACCGCACCAAAAAGGTGCAAGACCCTTTTTTGGTCCATACTAGAATCGGATCACATAGATGTTCACACCTATGCGATCTGATTCTGCATATTGCACCACTTTTACCTGACCGATGTTAGGGTGTCGTTAACATACATACCCACATCAGTTTGTGTGAATGGGGTGCGATTGTGATACGGTGCAGAACTCGCACTGAAAACACTGTGAATTCTACTCCCCATCAGTGTGAACCAGGACTAAAAATCGAATGTTCGGTGTATTGTAACACTGAGAGACAGAATAGCAACAACAAATGCAGCAGAAATGCGTCTAACAAATGATGACTGATCTGCATGTTCATCATTCAGCAGGATTTCTGGCTACCAGGTGTCTTTCATACAGGTAACAAGCTGAGATTAGAAGCAGTCTCCTAAAGGAAGTGTTGATAATCTCATTTTGTTACCTGTATAAAAGACACCTGTCCACAGGAGCAACAGTTGGTGCAATCATTCACAAATGGAAGAAACACAAAACAAGTGTCAGTCTCCCTAGGTCTGGTGCACCATGCAAGATCTCTCCCCTCGTGGAGTGTCAATGATCATGAGAACAGTGAGGAATCATCCCAGAACTACACGTGAGGATCTTGTCAATGATCTCCAGGCAGCTGGGACCACAGTCACCAAGAAAACAATTGGTAACACACTACGCCGACAATGACTGAAATCCTGCAGTGCCCACAAGGTCCCTCTGCTCAAGAAAGCACATGTCTAGGCCCGTCTGAAGTTTGCCACTGAACATCTGAATGATGCAGAGGACGACTGGTTGAAAGTGCTGTGGTCAGATGAGACCAAAATCCAGCTCTTTGGCATCAACTCAACTCGCCGTGTTTGGAGGAGGAGGAATGCTGCCTATGACCCCAAGAACACCATCCCAACTGTGAAACATGGTGGTGAAAACATTCTGCTTTGGGGGTGTTTTTTCTGCTAAGGGAACAGGAAAACTGCACCGCATCAAAGGGACGTTGGACGGGGCAACGTAAATCTTGGGTGAGAACCTTCTTCCCTCAGCCAGGGCATTGAAAATGGGTCATGGATGGGTGTTCCAGTATGACAATGACCCCAAAAAACACACGGCCAAGGCAACAAAGGAGTGGCTCAAGAAGAAGCACATTAAGATCCTGGAATGGCCTAGCCAGTCTCCAGACCTTAATCCGATGGAAAATCTGTGGAGGGAGCTGAAAGTTTGAGTTGTCATATATCAGCCACCAAACCTTAATAACTTGGAGAGGATCTGCCAAGAGGAGTGGGACAAAATCCCTCCTGAGATGTGTACAAACCTGGGGGCCAACTCCAGGAAACGTCTGACCTCTGTGATTGCCAACAAGGGATTTGCCACCAAGTACTAAGTCATGTTTTGTGAAGGGGACCAAATCCTTATTTCCCTCATGAACATGCAGATCAGTCATCATTTGTTAGACGCATTTCTGCTGAATTTGTTGTTGTATTCTGTCTCTCAGTGTTACAATACACCGAACATTCGATTTTTAGACCGATCATTTCTTTGTGAGGGGCGAACGTTTTAAAATCAGCAGGGGAGCAAATACGCATTTCCTTCACTGTATATGTTTTTTTGTATGTTTTTATTTAATTGAAACCTTTCATATTTGATGTTTTAGAGCTAGCAGGTGGTGACTATGAGGCTGGTGCATCAAGGTATCAAATAGCCGTTCACCGGTCATCAAATAAATCTTTTTAGGCTGCTCACATGCATGAAGGATGAACAACATCCCTTGTGATAGCATGGGCAGTGACAGGTCCTCTTTATGGAGAGATTGAGGGTCTATGAGACCCCTGATCCCTCCTGTAGCCCTCTTAAGCATCTGAACAAACTAAGGTCAGTTGAAAATTCAGATCCACATGTAGAATACTTAATTAATCCCAAAGGGAAATGATTAACATTAGAGATGAGCGAAGTATTCAAAAATTCGATTCGACTGATTCGGCGAATTCGTGGAAAATATTCGATTCGAGTCGAATATATTCGCTGTGAATTTAACTTAAAAAAAGGGTGTTTCTAGGTGACCAGGCGGTACGGGGGCCCATGGCAGATTTGGGGCCTGGCAGCACCTATGGGAGGCCTGTAATCTGCCAGCAACCTATGACAAAATGGAAACCAGCAGGAGTGTGAGGAGACCTGAAAGTGGCACATGGCAGAGTGGAGCAATGGGAGGCCGTACAGGGACCCATGTCACACTGTGGACCCAGCAGCAGCGTGACCAGGCGGTACGGGGGCCCATGGCAGATTTGGGGCCTGGCAGCACCTATGGGAGGCCTGTAATCTGCCAGCAACCTATGACAAAATGGAAACCAGCAGGAGTGTGAGGAGACCTGAAAGTGGCACATGGCAGAGTGGGAGCAATGGGAGGGCGGTACAGGGACCCATGACACACTGTGGACCCAGCAGCAGCGTGACGAGGCGGTACGGGGGCCCATGGCAGATTTGGGGCCTGGCAGCACCTATGGGAGGCCTGTAATCTGCCAGCAACCTATGACAAAATGGAAACCAGCAGGAGTGTGAGGAGACCTGAAAGTGGCACATGGCAGAGTGGGAGCAATGGGAGGCGGTACAGGGACCCATGACACACTGTGGACCCAGCAGCAGCGTGACGAGGCGGTACGGGGGGCCCATGGCAGATTTGGGGCCTGGGCAGCACCTATGGGAGGCCTGTAATCTGCCAGCAACCTATGACAAAATGGAAACCAGCAGGAGTGTGAGGAGACCTGAAAGTGGCACATGGCAGAGTGGGAGCAATGGGAGGGTACAGGGACCCATGACACACTGTGGACCCAGCAGCAGCGTGACGAGGCGGTACGGGGGCCCATGGCAGATTTGGGGCCTGGCAGCACCTATGGGAGGCCTGTAATCTGCCAGCAACCTATGACAAAATGGAAACCAGCAGGAGTGTGAGGAGACCTGAAAGTGGCACATGGCAGAGTGGGAGCAATGGGAGGCGGTACAGGGACCCATGACACACTGTGGACCCAGCAGCAGCGTGACGAGGCGGTACGGGGGCCCATGGCAGATTTGGGGCCTGGGCAGCACCTATGGGAGGCCTGTAATCTGCCAGCAACCTATGACAAAATGGAAACCAGCAGGAGTGTGAGGAGACCTGAAAGTGGCACATGGCGAGTGGGAGCAATGGGAGGCGGTACAGGGACCCATGACACACTGTGGACCCAGCAGCAGCGTGACCAGGCGGTACGGGGGCCCATGGCAGAGATTGGGGCCTGGCAGCACCTATGGGAGGCCTGTAATCTGCCAGCAACCTATGACAAAATGGAAACCAGCAGGAGTGTGAGGAGACCTGAAAGTGGCACATGGCAGAGTGGGGAGCAATGGGAGGCGGTACAGGGACCCATGACACACTGTGGACCCAGCAGCAGCGTGACCAGGCGGTACGGGGGCCCATGGCAGATTTGGGGCCTGGCAGCACCTATGGGAGGCCTGTAATCTGCCAGCAACCTATGACAAAATGGAAACCAGCAGGAGTGTGAGGAGACCTGAAAGTGGCACATGGCAGAGTGGGAGCAATGGGAGCCGGTACAGGGACCCATGACACACTGTGGACCCAGCAGCAGCGTGACCAGGCGGTACGGGGGCCCATGGCAGATTTGGGGCCTGGCAGCACCTATGGGAGGCCTGTAATCTGCCAGCAACCTATGACAAAATGGAAACCAGCAGGAGTGTGAGGAGACCTGAAAGTGGCACATGGCAGAGTGGGAGCAATGGGAGGCGGTACAGGGACCCATGACACACTGTGGACCCAGCAGCAGCGTGACGAGGCGGTACGGGGGCCCATGGCAGATTTGGGGCCTGGCAGCACCTATGGGAGGCCTGTAATCTGCCAGCAACCTATGACAAAATGGAAACCAGCAGGAGTGTGAGGAGACCTGAAAGTGGCACATGGCAGAGTGGGAGCAATGGGAGGCAATGGGAGGGGTACAGGGACCCATGACACACTGTGGACCCAGCAGCAGCGTGACGAGGCGGTACGGGGGCCCATGGCAGATTTGGGGCCTGGCAGCACCTATGGGAGGCCTGTAATCTGCCAGCAACCTATGACAAAATGGAAACCAGCAGGAGTGTGAGGAGACCTGAAAGTGGCACATGGCAGAGTGGGAGCAATGGGAGGCGGTACAGGGACCCATGACACACTGTGGACCCAGCAGCAGCGTGACGAGGCGGTACGGGGGCCCATGGCAGATTTGGGGCCTGGCAGCACCTATGGGAGGCCTGTAATCTGCCAGCAACCTATGACAAAATGGAAACCAGCAGGAGTGTGAGGAGACCTGAAAGTGGCACATGGCAGAGTGGGAGCAATGGGAGGCGGTACAGGGACCCATGACACACTGTGGACCCAGCAGCAGCGTGACGAGGCGGTACGGGGGCCCATGGCAGATTTGGGGCCTGGCAGCACCTATGGGAGGCCTGTAATCTGCCAGCAACCTATGACAAAATGGAAACCAGCAGGGAGTGTGTGTGAGGAGACCTGAAAGTGGCACATGGCAGAGTGTGGCAATGGGGAGCAATGGGAGGCGGTACAGGGACCCATGACACACTGTGGACCCAGCAGCAGCGTGACGAGGCGGTACGGGGGCCCATGGCAGATTTGGGGCCTGGCAGCACCTATGGGAGGCCTGTAATCTGCCAGCAACCTATGACAAAATGGAAACCAGCAGGAGTGTGAGGAGACCTGAAAGTGGCACATGGCAGAGTGGGAGCAATGGGAGGCGGTACAGGGACCCATGTCACACTGTGGACCCAGCAGCAGCGTGACCAGGCGGTACGGGGGCCCATGGCAGATTTGGGGCCTGGCAGCACCTATGGGAGGCCTGTAATCTGCCAGCAACCTATGACAAAATGGAAAACCAGCAGGAGTGTGAGGAGACCTGAAAGTGGCACATGGCAGAGTGGGAGCAATGGGATGGGGCGGTACAGGGACCCATGACACACTGTGGACCCAGCAGCAGCGTGACCAGGCGGTACGGGGGCCCATGGCAGATTTGGGGCCTGGCAGCACCTATGGGAGGCCTGTAATCTGCCAGCAACCTATGACAAAATGGAAACCAGCAGGAGTGTGAGGAGACCTGAAAGTGGCACATGGCAGAGTGGGAGCAATGGAGAGGCGGTACAGGGACCCATGACACACTGTGGACCCAGCAGCAGCAGCAGCGTGACGAGGCGGTACGGGGGCCCATGGCAGATTTGGGGCCTGGCAGCAGCACCTATGGGAGGCCTGTAATCTGCCAGCAACCTATGACAAAATGGAAACCAGCAGGAGTGTGAGGAGACCTGAAAGTGGCACATGGCAGAGTGGATGGAGACAGAGCAATGGGAGGCCGTACAGGGACCCATGACACACTGTGGACCCAGCAGCAGCGTGACAGGCGGTACGGGGGCCCATGGCAGATTTGGGGCCTGGCAGCACCTATGGGAGGCCTGTGTAATCTGCCAGCAACCTATGACAAAATGGAAACCAGCAGGAGTGTGAGGAGACCTGAAAGTGGCACATGGCAGAGTGGGGCAATGGGCAGCAATGGGGCGGTACAGGGACCCATGACACACTGTGGACCCAGCAGCAGCGTGACGAGGCGGTACGGGGGCCCATGGCAGATTTGGGGCCTGGCAGCACCTATGGGAGGCCTGTAATCTGCCAGCAACCTATGACAAAATGGAAACCAGCAGGAGTGTGAGGAGACCTGAAAGTGGCACATGGCAGAGTGGGAGCAATGGGGAGCAGCAATGGGAGGCGGTACAGGGACCCATGACACACTGTGGACCCAGCAGCAGCGTGACAGGCGGTACGGGGGCCCATGCAGATTTGGGGCCTGGCAGCACCTATGGGAGGCCTGTAATCTGCCAGCAACCTATGACAAAATGGAAACCAGCAGGAGTGTGAGGAGACCTGAAAGTGGCACATGGCAGAGTGGCGATGGACAGCAGCAATGGGAGGCGGTACAGGGACCCATGACACACTGTGGACCCAGCAGCAGCGTGACGAGGCGGTACGGGGGCCCATGGCAGATTTGGGGCCTGGCAGCACCTATGGGAGGCCTGTAATCTGCCAGCAACCTATGACAAAATGGAAAACCAGCAGGAGTGTGAGGAGACCTGAAAGTGGCACATGGCAGAGATGGGATGGGCAGCAATGGGAGGCGGTACAGGGACCCATGACACACTGTGGACCCAGCAGCAGCGTGACGAGGCGGCGGTACGGGGGCCCATGGCAGATTTGGGGCCTGGCAGCACCTATGGGAGGCCTGTAATCTGCCAGCAACCTATGACAAAATGGAAAACCAGCAGGAGTGTGAGGAGACCTGAAAGTGGCACATGGCAGAGTGGGAGCAATGGGAGGCGGTACAGGGACCCATGACACACTGTGGACCCAGCAGCAGCGTGACGAGGCGGTACGGGGGCCCATGGCAGATTTGGGGCCTGGCAGCACCTATGGGAGGCCTGTAATCTGCCAGCAACCTATGACAAAATGGAAAAACCAGCAGGAGTGTGAGGAGACCTGAAAGTGGCACATGGCAGAGTGGGAGCAATGGCAGGAGGCGTACAGGGACCCATGACACACTGTGGACCCAGCAGCAGCGTGACCAGGCGGTACGGGGCCCATGGCAGATTTGGGGCCTGGCAGCACCTATGGGAGGCCTGTAATCTGCCAGCAACCTATGACAAAATGGAAACCAGCAGGAGTGTGAGGAGACCTGAAAGTGGCACATGGCAGAGTGTGGGATGGAGCAATGGCAGCAATGGGAGGGTACAGGGACCCATGACACACTGTGGACCCAGCAGCAGCGTGACCAGGCGGTACGGGGGCCCATGGCAGATTTGGGGCCTGGCAGCACCTATGGGAGCCTGTAATCTGCCAGCAACCTATGACAAAATGGAAAAGCAGGAGTGTGAGGAGACCTGAAAGTGGCACATGGCACATGGCAGAGTGGGAGCAATGGGAGGCGGTACAGGGACCCATGACACACTGTGGACCCAGCAGCAGCGTGACGAGGCGGTACGGGGGCCCATGGCAGATTTGGGGCCTGGCAGCACCTATGGGAGGCCTGTAATCTGCCAGCAACCTATGACAAAATGGAAACCAGCAGGAGTGTGTGGAGACCTGAAAGTGGCACATGGCAGAGTGGGAGCAATGGGAGGCGGTACAGGGACCCATGACACACTGTGGACCCAGCAGCAGCGTGACGAGGCGGTACGGGGGCCCATGGCAGATTTGGGGCCTGGCAGCACCTATGGGAGGCCTGTAATCTGCCAGCAACCTATGACAAAATGGAAACCAGCAGGAGTGTGAGGAGACCTGAAAGTGGCACATGGCAGTGTGGCAGAGTGGGAGCAATGGGAGGCGGTACAGGGACCCATGACACACTGTGGACCCAGCAGCAGCGTGAGAGGCGGTACGGGGGGGCCCATGGCAGATTTGGGGCCTGGCAGCACCTATGGGAGGCCTGTAATCTGCCAGCAACCTATGACAAAATGAAACCAGCAGCAGAGTGTGAGGAGACCTGAAAGTGGCACATGGCAGAGTGTGGCGATGGGAGCAATGGGAGGCCGTACAGGGACCCATGACACACTGTGGACCCAGCAGCAGCGTGACGAGCGGTACGGGGGCCCATGGCAGATTTTGGGGCCTGGCAGCACCTATGGGAGGCCTGTAATCTGCCAGCAACCTATGACAAAATGGAAACCAGCAGAGTGTGAGGAGACCTGAAAGTGGCACATGGTGGCGAGTGGTGGCAGCGTGAATGGAGGGGCCCATGGCAGACAGCACACTGTGGACCCGTAATCTGCAGCAGCATGACCAGGCGGTACGGAAAGGGGACCCATGACACACTGTGGACCTGGCAGCAGCGTGAGGAGGCGGTACGGGGGCCCATGGCAGATTTAGGGGCCTGGCAGCAGCAATGGGAGGCCCGTAATCTGCCAGCACCCTATGACAAAATGAAACAGCAGCAGCAGTGTGAGGAGACCTGAAAGTGGCACATGGCAGAGTGTGGCGCGATGGAGACAGCAGCAATGGGAGGCGGTACAGGGACCCATGACACACTGTGGACCTGGCAGCAGCGTGAGGAGGCGGTACAGGGGCCCATGGCAGATTAGGGGCCTGGCAGCAGCTATGTGAGGCCCGTAATCTGCCAGCACCCTATGACAAAATGAAACACACCAGCAGTGTGAGGAGACCTGAAAGTGGCACATGGCATGACACACTGTGGACCTTGCAGCAGCGTGAGGAGGCGGTACAGGGGCCCATGGCAGATTAGGGGCCTGGCAGCAGCTATGGGAGGCCCGTAATCTGCCAGCACCCTATGACAAAATGGAACCCAGCAGTGTGAGGAGACCTGAAAGTGGCACATGGCATGACACACTGTGGACCTTGCAGCAGCATGTGAGGAGGCGGTACAGGGGCCCATGGCAGATTAGGGGCCTGGCAGCAGCATGAGGAGGCCCGTATCTGCCAGGGCCCATGGCAATTAGGAACAGCAGCAGCAATGGGAGACCTGTACAGTGGACCCATGAGACACTGTGGACCTTGCAGCAGCGTGAGGAGGGCGGTACAGGGGCCCATGGCAGATTAGGGGCCTGGCAGCAGCTATGGGAGGCCCGTAATCTGCCAGCACCCTATGACAAAATGGAACCCAGCAGCAGTGTGAGGAGACCTGAAAGTGGCACATGTTTGGGGCATGATTCATGGCGGATTTAGTCAGTTGTGTCAGGAACTGGTGGTTTGAAATCCAGACTAATCCACGCCTGATTCATTTTCACAAACGTGAGTCTCTCCACACTTTGGGTGGACAGTCGTGTCCTCCGCGGAGTTACAATACCTCCTGCCGCACTAAAACACGCGCTCCGATGCCACGCTACTGGCCGGGCATGACAGCCTTTCAAGGGCAAATTCAGCTAGTTGGGGCCAAAGGTCAAGTTTCGTTGCCCAGTAGTCAAGGGGATTGTCTACCTCGGTTGGCAGGGTGCTGTCCAAGTAGGCCCAAGCCTGTTGTTTGAGCTCCTGCTCCAGGTCCACCTGATGCTGCTGCTGCTGCTGCGGCTGGTTAGTAGTTTCCTCACTGCGCTGGTGAAGAAAGCTACTCATCATCGACTGCAGACTGAGGCAGCCGCTGCTGGTGGAGCTGCCACTGCTCCTACCACCCCACCCCTCCCCTGCTGCCATGGCAGCGGAACGCGAGCGCACAGGGCCCACAGTGTCTGAGGATGGACGTTGGCGCAGAAAGGCAGAGACCAACTGACTACATAGGTGGTTTTTATAGTACGTAATTTTGGCCTCCCTCTCTCAGCAGGTGTGAAAAAGGCCACCATTTTGGAACGGTAGCGAGGGTCCAACAAGGTGGACAGCCAAAAGTCATCCCTCTGTCTGATGGTTATTATTCGGCTGTCGCTACGCAAGCAACCGAGCATGCTATGGGCCATTTGTGCCAAGGAATGCGAGGGACTCCCTGCCTCCATCTCCACAGCATACTGCCACGGTGCGTCTGGGTCCTCTGTCCTCCTCCTCCTCCTCCTCCTCTACCAGATGCTCCTGCTCCTCCACTCCTGTCCGCTGAGTGGAAAAACCACCCATTTCACTCAATAATTCCTGAGCACAAATGTCCTCCTCTACCTCCTCCTCTTCTTCCTGTCCTGCCCCCACAGGGGTCATGTGGCGTTGAGATCTGTGCGCCACGTCTACCGCACCCTGACCAGCCATTGTTAACAGCATTTGTTCCAGGACGTGCAACAGAGGAATGACGTCGTTCATCCCATAGTCCTGCCGACTCACGAATAGCGTGGCCTCCTCAAAGGGCCTGAGCAAGCGGCAGGTGTCACGCATGAGCTGCCAATGGCTGACATCGAAGTTACACAGGGGAGTACCTTTATCCGCTTGTAACATCAGGAAATCGGTGATGGCCTTTCGCTGCTCGTAAAGGCGGTCTAACATGTGTAGGGTTGAATTCCACCTTGTTGCAACGTCGCAGATCAGGCGATGCTGTGGAATTCCGTTTCTGCCGCTGCAGCTCAAGGAGGGTGTGCTTTGCGTGTAGGAATGGCTGAAATGCATGCAAAGTTTACGTGACATTTTAAGGATGTCTTGCAGTGGGATGGTGGATTTTAGGAACCGCTTGACAACCAGATTGAACACGTGAGCCATGCATGGCGCATGGCACAACCTTCCTTGACGCAGAGCAGACACCATGTTCTTTCCGTTGTCGGTCAACATGGTTCCGATTTTCAGTTTGCGCGGAGACAGCCATCTGTCGATTTCTCTGTTCATTACACTCAGAAGTTCCTCCCCTGTGTGACTACGTTCGCCAAGGCATACCAGGTGCAGCACAGCGTGACACCGTTGCGCCCTGCACATGTGATATGCCGGTCGGGTAATGGGACTTGGCACGGGGGTGGCGGCTGAGGACACGGCGGAAGAAGAGGTGGTAGAGGCGGACATCTTTGCTGGACCAAGGACGTGCAAACGTGGAGGCAAAAGCGTCGTGACCTGTCCAAGTTGCTGGTGCGGCTGTGCCGGCACCACGTTCACCCAGTGGGCCGTAAATGACATGTACTGTCCCTGACCGTAGTTACAGCTCCACACGTCGGCGCTGCCGTGCACTTTGGCAGAGACCGACATGCTCAAAGACTGGCCCACCATCTCTTCTACATGTGAATGCAGGGCTGGCACTGCCTTTTTGGCGAAGAAATGACGGCTTGGCACTCTCCACCGCGGCGCGGCACAAGCCATCATTTCTCGGAAAGGTGCTGAGTCCACCAGTTGGAAAGGGAGGGACTGCAGCACCAGCAACTTGGACAGGAGGACGTTCAGCTTTTGCACCGTCGGGTGCGTGCTCGCAAACTGTTGTCTCTTGGAAACGGATTCCAAGAAAGACTGCTGACGGAATCCGTGAAGAGGAGTAGCAGGAGAAGGAGCATCTGAACGAGCGGAAGATGCCAACGAGCGACAACTCCCCTCAGCAGAGGTGTTGGAGCCTTGACTGGCTGATAGAGGGCGATTGACGTCGGGTGACGGAGCAAGTAACGGAGCGGGTGATGGAGCGGGGGCTGGGGCAGGCAGAACCGCCGTATCTTTATCACGGTTTTCCCAGGCCACCAAATGGCGACGCTGCATATGCTGACGCAACGCTGTAGTCCCAACATGGGCCCCCTGGCCACGCTTGACTTTCTGGCCACATAGTCGACATACGGCTACGTTTACTTCCTCGGGCGGCTTGACGAAAAATTGCCACACCACCGAGTAGGAAACTTTGCCCCCGCTACTCCTCACTGGCTGACTGCTACTTCCTCCGTGCGCACCGGCACCACTACTGGCCGTGGTGGTAGGCTGCAGTGGAGCTGGTGCTCTACTCCGTGGCCGTTTGGCTCCACTGACACTGCTGCGACCCTGCTGCCTCCTGGGCAACCCACCGACTGTTTCGCTCGCTGCCAAGCTGGCACCCTCTTCTCCTGATGATGCGGAAGAAATTGCCTGATGACGACGAGGCTGCCAAGTGCGATCAACCTCCTCATCATCAAGTAGGGTCTCCGCCTCACTACTACTAGCCCCCTCGGCTGCGTCTGGGTCAGGAGACAGACCTGTCTCTAGACCGGCTACCGAGCCACTCTCCTCGCCAGTACTTCTTCGCCTGGCTGCTGAAAAGGCGGATGTCTCCCCCCCCGTTCCTGACCGCCCTCTGTTAGCTCTTCCTCACTGTACAGTGGGGCTGAGCCCACAGCATGCGATACTTCGCTTGGTGAGGGAACAGCAAAGGACAGGGGCAGGTAGAGGACACGTGATTTCAGTGGGCTTGCTCCCGGGCCATGCCAACTAACGGTTGTTGTGTCTGACGTACACACCGACCGTTGGCTGTAGGTGTCAGAGGTGACCTGGGAAGAGGAAGACGACCGAGCCAACATACTCTTTAATTCAACGATTCTGTGTCCCTGAGTAACAATTCTGTGTCTGTCCCTGAGTAACAATTCTGTGTCTGTCCCTGAGTAAACGGTTCTGTGGCCCCAGTAACGGTTCTGGTGGCCCTCAGTAACAAATTCTGTGGCCCTGAGTAACGTTCTGTGGCCCTCAGTAACGGTTCTGTGGCCCTCAGTAACGGTTCTGTGGCCCTCAGTAACAATTCTGTGGCCCTCAGTAACTTGTTGTTCTGTGGCCCTCAGTAACGGTTCTGTGTGGCCCTCAGTAACAATTCTGTTTGTGGCCCTCAGTAACGGTTCTGTGGCCCTCAGTAACGGTTCTGTGGCCCCTCAGTAACAATTCTGTGGCCCTCAGTAACGGTTCTGTGGCCCTCAGTAACAATTCTGTGGCCCTCAGTAACAATTCTGTGGCCCTAAGTAACAATTCTGTGGCCCTCAGTAACAATTCTGTGGCCCTCAGTAACAATTCTGTGCCCTCAGTAACAATTCTGTGGCCCTCAGTAACAATTCTGTGGCCCGAGTAACGGTTCTGTGCCCTCAGTAACAATTCTGTGTCCCTCAAGTAACAATTCTGTGGCCCTGTTGGCCCGAAGTAACAATTCTGTGGCCCTAAGTAACGGTTCTGTGGCCCTCAGTAACAATTCTCAGTAACAATTCTGGCCCTCAGTAACAATTCTGTGGCCCTCAGTAACAATTCTGTGCCCTCAGTAACAATTCTGTGGCCCTCAGTAACAATTCTGTGGCCCTCAGTAACAATTCTGTGGCCCTCAGTAATAACGGTTCTGTGGCCCTCATAACAATTCTGTGGCCCT